GATACTGGGTAGGTACGTTCGATGCATGCTTACTATTCTTATCACTTTGACTTATACGGGGTAGGTACATTCGACACATGCTTACTATTCTTACCACTTTAGGGGCTCGAGCGCTTGGCAGATAGATGTAGCATGCCCATACTTGTTGTCAGATTTCCTTGTTCGTCTATATGCATCTCCATATCCAGTGCTGCGTTGATTGATATACTTCGTGTTCACCTCTATGCACCTCCAAATATTGATCTGTATTGTTTGGTATTTATTGACATCCCAGTCGTTGGGTTGGGTTGGGTTGGGTTGTTGTGATTTCGATACCAACGTACGTGCTATCTTAACCCGACCAGTGGGGGTAGTAACAAATACCATAAACATATTAAAACCCTAAACCCTAGATATCGCAACTTTGGTACGTATACCGATAAGGTTTGCATACGGCAGTTATAGCCCTCTCCCGTAGTACCCATTGAATCTATTAATAGAACGCATCTCATTGAATATCAATCCTATCTATTGTATAGGGCCCTTTCGCAGTACATGAATCTGCACGTGCGTGCTATGGCGCTTCCGAATGTCCACTTCAACGACTACCAGTCTATTACCGTGGCATACAAATACGACGGCGAGGTGTGTGTCCGATAAATTGTTGTATTGTGTGTCACATGTATTGTCGCATTGTGTGTCACGTGTATAGTCGTATTGTGTGTCCCATGTATAGTCGTATTGTGTGTCCCATGTATTATCGTATTGTGTGTCACACGTATAGTCGTATTATGTGTCCCATGTATTGTCGTATTGTGTGTCACATGTATAGTCGTATTGTGTGTCCCATGTATAGTCGTATTGTGTGTCACATGTATAGTCGTATTGTGTGTCACATGTATTGTCATATTGTGTGTCACATGTATAGTCGTATTGTGTGTCCCATGTATAGTCGTATTGTGTGTCCCGTGTATTGTCGTATTGTGTGTCACATGTATAGTCGTATTGTGTGTCCCATGTATAGTCGTTTTGTGTGTCACATGTATAGTCGTATTGTGTGTCACATGTATGCCCTGTGATGGGGTGTAGCGGTACATGCCGCTGCTCCCTTGCAATAGTAGTGCTCACACGGTGGTCACACTTCGACATCTCCGCATATGCACTTCAACGGGTTCAATGCTGTTTATTTGTCGTATCGTCGTTAAATCGACATAGTTTTGTTCTGGAATGCTTGGAAGGAGCGCAGACCACCAACAGTTCACATCCCCTTGTTGCGTCCACATGCGTGTATGTCCACAGACTTCTGCTATTACTTTGTGATGTACTGATAACGGTAGGTACACTCACCTGTCACTGAAAACTACGCACACTGCTACACTTACATGTCACTAATAGGTGTGCTTTAGGGTGATACACACGATAGTACACTTACGTATCACTAATAGGTGTGCTTTGGGGTGATACACACGATAGTACACTTACGTGTCACCAATAGGTGTACTGTGGGGTGATACACACGATTGTTCACTTACGAATCTTTAATAGGTGTACAGTGGGATGATACACAAGATAGTACACTTACGTATCATTAATAGGTGTACTATGGGGTGATACACACAATAGTACACATATGTGTCACTAATAGGTGTACTATTGTATCCCTGATCTCAGTGGGCTGGCAATCATTTTGGGCAAGTCTGGGACAAGCTGCAGCGGCACCCCGAATACACACCCGAGTTCCCTCTGTTAGTGGGACAGGCTCCTCTCGAGGCCTATACGGTACTAGTCCAAGGCGTTCCGGATGCTCGATGATACAAGCTACAAAGTGAATAGT